AATCCCCCACTCTGCTGCGTGAGGAATATACACTGCCTAATTAACATAAACCACAGCAAATGCCCTGCGTCCTTGGAGCGAGGGCTGACGGCGCTGCAGCCCAGCGTGCACAGAGACACCCCGTGCTGCCAGCGTCGCGCCGGGATGGGATCCAGCTTAGTTGGTGGCACCTCCAAGCTCTGCCTGGCAGTCTGTCCTGGGTGAGGGGAGCAGGGAGCCGGGCTGCTTCCTCACCCCCAGCTCCGCATAAAGCCCCGAGATATAATGCCCTACAAAGTGTGACATATACTCCCTGCGGGTTGATGGGGTCCCACACCACCCCATGCCAGAGGGATGCTCCAGAGCATCCCTCCCAGGAGGCAGGCTGGAGGAGCCTGCCACTCCCGGGGCACGATCCCGCTCTCCACAGGCTGGATTGGAGCGGGATGGATGCCTTGTGGCTGGGGCCGTACAGCGAGAGCCCTCCCGGGGCCCACGGCACTGCCGGGAGAGGGAGGGCAGCGGGGAGAGACCTCCCTGGGCGGTGGTGGGAGCTGGATCTGGCCCAAGCACGAGGGCGCATCGTCTCCAAGATACAGTGGCTTGGGGTAGCTTTTCCTAAACAAAGAGCATTGATTGGAGCGGGATGGATGCCTTGTGGCTGGGGCCGTACAGCGAGAGCCCTCCCGGGGCCCACGGCACTGCCGGGAGAGGGAGGGCAGCGGGGAGAGACCTCCCTGGGCGGTGGTGGGAGCTGGATCTGGCCCAAGCACGAGGGCGCATCGTCTCCAAGATACAGTGGCTTGGGGTAGCTTTTCCTAAACAAAGAGCATTATAAGGGAGCCACTGCTGGAAATTTCCATTCCTTTGTTGGGTAGATGCTGTGTAAATAAATGCATTCCTAAGATTTTTCATAATCCTGGAAAGGTCCATGAAAGAAACTGTACAGTTTGTCAAATCGCTGGAGTTCATATATATTATTCCTCAGCTGCCGGGAACATGATGTACAATGGCATGGAATATAATGCAAGAAACATATGCTAAAGGTCTTCTTAGAAGCACCCTGTGCATTCATATGTGGGATGTACAGATATTTCTTCTGTTTTGCCCCATGGGATCTAAAATGTTCAACCCATATTACACCTCGCGTTTGTGATTTACTTACCTTAACTGTAAATAATCCTTACATGACAGGTGACTTTGGTGGCAGCATTTAGCTATTCCCTGGTTTAATATGCGGGTGCTTTGGAAGCAGTTATAAATTAGTACATGAGATAAATATGTAAGCAATCTCTTACTTTACTCTTCTGCTTTTCTTTCTGTCTGAATTTTATTTAAAAACCAGACAATTTTGGAAGATGCCATTATGACAATGTTTTGTGCCTGATGTATTTACAAGTCAAATGGCTCAAAACCGCATTTTCAATGTCCTACTTTCTTGCCATATATAAACACTAACTACATATAGAAGAGATTATTTTCCTGTATCCGGTGTATTGGTAATGTAAATGCAGGAGTTACTTACACAGTAAAGACTACTGTACCTTCATTGGTGGAACTCTGATCTTTTTCTTGAAATAAGCTCGTAACTTCTCCCACTAACTCTACCCCCTTGGACTCAGTGGATCTGGATTTATAAGATCACTTCCCTGTTTAATGTGGTACAAATACTTCAGAATTTTATAACAGAAGCTGTCCTTTAGACTACCAGAACAATGTTTATTACCCTTCTTTTTCATTTTTGAACACACTCTGACATTTACCTTATATTTAGACTTTCCCAACAGCTACGCCTGCTTTCTTTAGGATGAATTTGTTAATTTTGAAAATCATATCTGCTAGTAATGCAATTCTACTGGAAAAATACTGAAATGTTATGGAAACAATACTTTTCTTTTTATTTTTCATTTTTCATTTTTTGATATCAAAGTTCTAGATAAAAGAGAACACTTAATAAATAGTTGTATAAAATACAAAACGTGCTTTTTCAACATTTGTCTTCTAATTGCCCAAAATACAATGTTACCATTTATTTCCTAGATATGCTGTTTTTCAGTCAGATTAGAAATGTAAAAAAACCCCACAAACCGACAACCAAAACAACCTAGAAGCCAAACCAAAACAACCCCTCGAACAGGACTATCTCCGTAAGGTAAGCCCACCTAGTTTCGGCTAGCTGGTTAGCTCTCTAATTTCCTTCTGTTTGGACATTGCCACAGCATCTCCAATTCCACAGTGCTCATCCGAGATCCTAATTTTTCCTGACCTCAGTACTCACATTTGGGCGCTACTGCGTCAAAGCATTTCAGCCTCCAGGATGAAGTAGCCTGGTTCAGCCTTCTCTCAAAGAAAGACTATTACGGCAATTGTAGCGCTCAAACTGGAACAGATTATAAAAGCTTATTACTGTATTTTAATATAAAATATTGTTGCCTAAGGGCATCAAACTTTAAACCCAATTAATAACAAACTACGATCCCAGAGACTGCAGACCAGTAACTTATCTACCACACAAACAGCCGCACAAATCCCTCACATTTATTTTTTCCAGGCTTTCAACTTTGATTAATAACATGGCAAAACCATGCAAGTCTCAACCATATTAACCACAGCTACATTTTTAGTCTTACTGACATGAACACTTTAATATAATAAAAGGAAAAGGAAAACAGAAGAGGTGTTTCATTAGGACATGAGGATTACTAAAACCGCTGTGTGGAGTATTTGTCAGGAGGTGGTAGGGGAAGAGTTATTACTTACATTTTAGCATGTCGCTAGGACGCAGAGCAAGAGGCTCCCTCAGTGAGATATGTTTGCTTTGGAAAAAAAATTAAGTAATCAGACGGTCCAAGCTCTTCTTACTGACACATTTATAAGACCAAATTGCAAACTCAGTTAAGAAGTTTGCAGCACTACACGGAAAACTCTTTTTCCAGTTTTGTTATGAAGCCCGGCAATACGGCAGTGATACAAGATCCAGAAGTTCACATATTAACCTGCCAGTCCTTTTTATTGATAGACGGCTACATGCAAAAATATATGAAGCATGCAACCTGGTTGGTTAAAAAAATAGCCCAAACCACAAACCCTCAGCAAATCTGTTCTTGCAGCTGATTATATAAGCTTATAACCTGTTTTAAAAACATTTATTAAAAAAAAAAAAAATCCCCCAAACCCAAACAAAACCCTCCTGAATGGCTGATATAAGCAAGAAACCAGCATTATGTCAGTAAAATAACAGCTTCAAAAACAAAGCCAAAGACTAATGCTTGCCTAATACAGAATTCTTCAATATTAAACTTGTTTGGTTTCATGATCGTGTGATACTGGGACTAGAGTTAAATTTAGTCCATTCTCCTCATCGATTGTTCATATGACAGGGCTATTCCGCAGATGAGTTTCTGACACTAAATTCAGCTGGATGAATAGTATTCCACACATCATAAATATAAACAATATTTCGCTGAGTATGTCGTTTGACTTTTTTCTTTCTGCATCTACCTGCCTACACATTTGCACCAGCAGTACGTTTATAACGATGCTTTTTGTAAGAGAGCCAAGCTTTGTAAATCAGAATAATGGGCAAACCCAGTCATACATTTTCTATTTCTAAATCATTTGCATGAAGACAGCTACATTTCAAAATCGAGGGAACAGAACAAAGAGATACAGGCATACAGCATCCCAACAGTGACCCTGAAATAACTGCTCAGGACAGCACCCAAATATCATAATCACGGATGTGCTGGAAACACCCCGATACCACAGAGGGGATGCGATAGCCTAGCAAAGAGAAGGGCAGAGCAATAGCAAAAACCTTGTCACATTTTTACTCGGAGATGAAAGCATCATTTCTGCTTTGACCTTTTTAGCATTTCTAATGCACAACATCTGCAGTATCAGAAATGCAGGGGAATGGGGAAGGCGCGCACCCCAATCTATTTCTACCCACCAGCAAGCAAAGAAATGTACAGAAAACCTTTATATGGCACTGGAGGAAGCGAGACCCTATGCACAGTCTTATATATGAACTTGACTATCTCCCACTTGAATGCCACACAAGCACAGGAACCGTTCCCGCTCATCTGCGCTCCCCGTTCTGACATCAGGACTTTGCTTTTTAACTAGCCCGGGCTTGGCTGCAACGAAGATAAAACATATTTAGCTGCAACTTTTTTTTCTTTCAAAAAGAGGCAAACTGGATTATAGCAAATAACCTTTAAGATAATTAACTGACAATGCCGCAACTAGCATAAAATCTTCCTTCAGGCGACCCCTAATTTAAGTATTACTGGCACAAAGTGGAGACAGATTGTGCATCACCACCGCAATATTTACATAGCAGAAACCCACAGAGCAGGAAACGTGAGACTCAATGATGCACTAAATTAGGAACAATCATATTCTAGTGTTAATTTGCTTTCTCCTCCATCCAAATTTCAGGTCCAGCGATTGGTACGAATGCACATAAAACATTCCCATTTTTAATGATTAAGAACCACAATCTGCAAGCAGTTCTGCTCAAAAGTAAATTCACTCGCTACTAGGGATGTCTGCAGGATCAACCCCCCAAAAGTGAAACAGGTTTACCAACATAGAGATTTTTTAGAAAAGCAAGACCGCCTAATCTGTTTCTTTCTTTCCATAAATGATGTCTGCACAAGCAGTCTGAGTCGTCTGCCAGGCTACCTGCCTTTTGATTGCAAATATTTTCCTACGACAGTAGCACCGTGATTCTGCGGCATAATGGAGAAGCGGTTTTAATTCACCGATGCTGTAGATACATGCAGGTACTCAAAAGGCTGCGTAATCAAAGAATTAAAGTTAAAATGGGGCGGGGGAAGTGACACATTTATAATAAAAATACACTCTATAGTCTATCCAGACACAGATTTCACAAGCACTACTCTCAGTTACAGCACACTTTATAAGAAAAATGCGAAGAGCCATCACCAATCTTTCTAAATCTTAAATATTATTCACATTGGGTTTCCTCTATGGCATATTAACAAAATATTTACCTTGCCTAATCGCTGATGTTCTTCAAAAGCAGAAATCAGTTCTTGTGCCCACTTTATTTTTTCAGGGCTTGGAGAGAACTGTTCCTGGACAACAGCAATTTGGTTGGGGTGAATCACCTGCTTACCTACAAAGAAGATTAATAACACCAGAATCATGCATCGACAAACAGATGTTCAAGCAAAATGTTCCAACCACTTGAGGCTCTCATATGCCTCGCAGACTTTCTCGCTCTTTAACTAATTCTTTTACTTGGTTTCTTTTATTTTTTAAACTGGACAACAGGCAGATAGCTTTTTGCCAGATTTTTTTAAGAATAAAAATATCCTGAGCTATGCTTGCATTCAGTGTATTTTGAAAGAACCCATTATTCATTCTCCTCCCTCCCCATTTCAATCCATACATCTTCTCTCAGTCGTTTCAGGTGCAATTGCTTGTCTGGGGCAGTCAATAACACTTAAGTATAATGCATCTCTGAATTTAACTATATAAATAATAGCTCCAGCCACTCTTAAATAAGTTGTATTAAAATGCGTTCAGAAAATGACATCAGAAGAAGATGGCAAGAGATTTGTAGGACTGAAAAGTTAACAGTCACCTAAGGATCATGCCCTGAATTCTCAGTATTGGCTTAGCATCATAAAATGCTCAACGCTGTTTAAATTGTTCTTGTTGCAATAGTTAGCAGTTGCAGGTAGGTTGCAATACTTATTTAGTCACTGGTATATTAAACAACTACCAGCAGTACCCTGAGGTTTTATGAAGAGCTTTTTTTTTATCCTTTCTTGTATAAATGTACGTTAAGAAAATAAAAATAGATGTTGCCTTTTTTTACTAGAGATTTTCAAACATGAATAGACAGCCACATAATCCCGTTTAATCTGTTATTGTATTTAGCTACCTTAAAACAAATACATATCTAATTTGTTTTGACAGTTTTAAAAGTGCAACATTTGACATTATTAGTTCATTTCTAAGGGAATTTCACAGACCGGTGTGATTTCTGCACTTTGGTTTCAAAGTGTTTTCATAAAGAGAGGCTACCGTAATTCCCAGCTTCCCGCGGAATAAATGACTCTCCTCCGTGCCAGATGAGAAAACTAGTTAGGGGGACGAGCCCGATCCTGCAAACCTGCCGTCAAGTGAGCAGTCTCCTGCAGGCAGAGGGTCCCACAGCCGCGCCGTCCCGCCGCACGCCGCAGCCTCTCGCGGGAGCGAGATTTTTTGCACGCAAGGAAAATTTGAAGCGTCAGGACCTAAGGAGGTTTCCTGCGCGCAAGGGGGTCTGCTCCCATGTTCTCACTGACATTAAGCCAGCCGTACGGTAGAAATCAGCCCAGCGCTCGGTAGACGAAGTCTCACGCCTGACTGCAGAGATACACCTATCTTAAATGAAATTACCACTGCAAAAAACCTGGGATTACTTTTGGCAGATTGCAGTGGGTCTGAGTGATAACCTGGAGTACAAACAAAGCCTGGGGATGCAGCAGCACAATCTACTTAATTTAGCGAGCAAAGAAATAGTAATTTTTTAGTGTCGCCACATTTCTTTGCTAAAAAGCCATAAGTACCTCAGTTTTATTTTATTGCCTATTAAACAACCTTTAGTTTATGATCTTACGGGCATCCAAATATTCAGTTTGAAATTTCAATGTCGTAACTATTTAAAAAATAGCTTAAAAATAGGTAAAAGCTTTAAACTCAGTAAGAACTATATTTTTTGAAACAAATTACACGGAGAGAAATTTTCTTAACTAATGTGTTTTACATTAGGTCTAATCGAAGGTTTTTTAGTCAATTTAATCAAATGTCACCGTTAATAAGATTATGATGTTCCTTATTTGTAATACAACAAATTCCTCCCAGCTAAACTACTGATTCTAAAATTGAAGGGTGTACAAATAATTCCTGCAAAATCCTAAGGAGCTTAACTTTCTGGGAAAATTGTAGAATATATTTGAAATTATATTTAAAGTCAGTCTACAATTATAACAAAAATAAAAATAGTTACATTTGATTTTTTAAAGTGTAAAACATTTCTGTAAAAAGATTTGCTTTTGATAAAGATATCTGTAGCCATAAGCTGTACTTTTTATCATTAAAACACTACTGAACAATTTACAGGGAATATAATCTAACTTTTGCTTTATAGCACTCGGTTGATTTTTGCCACAGATTATGTATCCAAATAACTGTATAACAGATGTAATGCCATGCAGGAATGAAACAAATATTTTAAACAGAATTGTTGTTATTGACAAGTTACTGAGAGAGTGCAAAATTGGAAGACATTAAAATTTATGACCATGAAATCCTTTTTACAGTACCACTTGATATATCGTGCTTTAAATCAATACCTGTCAAGTCTTTTAGGTAACTGTATGATGGCGTCATTTTAGTCTTCTACAATAGACTGCAAAAAGAGAGGAAACCTATAGTGTTTCGTATTTATATCTGGCGTCTCAGCATGTAGCACAGGAGTTTCTATAACGACTAAGTCAGCTGTTAAAGCTTATGGCAAGGTTTACTTTATTTTTTAAATAAACATTCCTAAAACTGATGACCATTTATATAGGCAACACACTGACTTAAAGTCCACGGGTGCTGGTATTGTAAAACATCTTGCTGGGTGTGCATGTATATATGTGTATATATATACACCCCCCCCGCCCCCCAATATATATACACATATGTAAAAAATTCATAAATATACATATAAAAGATCTAGTAATGCGGCTAAATGACATATGAAAACATTTGATTTTATGTAAACACACTCACTGAAGGAAAAACAGGCTGCTTGTAAGATAACTGGAAAACTTGGCTACAATAAGCAATGAGGGTCACAATAGTAACTAAATAGCTGGTAAATTCTTCGTTATATTATTTCGCTTGTTTAATATTGAGTGAAAGTATTTGATTACATTAAGGCCAATTCTACCGGTCTAAATCTGAATATGGGAAAATCTAAGGATGTATAACTTTGCTGAATATTTTGGATTTGCATTAGTTTTGAGGGTGGTGAATTTGGCCCTATGCATGCAAGTAAGTGTGTGTTCTCCAGCTAAGAGAGCAATTTGGAAGCCTCAGCTCTTTTTAGTCCTGTTGATTTAAACTATTTTGATTCTTTGTGAAAAAGTAGCAGGAAGGGATCTTAAACATTTAAAAAGAACAAGAATCGTGTGTTTTGAACTTGTTATTAAGGCGACATTTCAGCATTTTACTCTCACGTTTTCAGAGGACTGTCAGTAGCAAATACAATCTGCGGACTTCTGCTTTATACAAGGTCACGGATTAAGCTAAGGCCCATTTGTAATTTTCTGTGATGAATATTAAATTGGAAATGTTAAAATGTTTCATTTATATAGTTTTGGAATGAAATGTTTTTGCTTTCAGTTTTGAAATGACATTTTATTTTCATCAAAACAAGTGAGAAAGATTATAAAAACATTAGATAAACTGAAAGAAAAAGAAACAAAAGAACAAGTGAAACATTTTGGATTGACCTCAATTTTTTTTTTCTTTTTTACCAAAAATATGAAAAATGTTGTTTTGTTTTGATTTAAACAGATTTTTTAAATTTAATATTTTTTTTGGCCACCAAAACAGAAGAGTCAGTATTGCCCCATCTCTAATTATGGTTGGACTGGTTGCCAGGCTGTTTGCTGGGTTTTGGAAATGTGTTGATGATAGCTGTGGAAAGGCAGGAGGCAAAGAGCAGGAGCTGTGAGTTCACCTTAATGAAGTCTGTAGCTTTTACAGATCTTTACTCCTTGTACGGAAAGGCAAGACACCTCTATGGCCAAGTTAGAAATTCACTTTGCGTCCAAAATTGCCACACGTGATCTTTTTATTTGTCTCCTATCTGAACCCTATCCTGATGTCAGACAGCTTCCACCGTAAAGTCGGTGGAGTCCAAACTGCCGTTAACGTTGTTTATGCTGAGCATTTCTAAATTTCCTAAATTGGCAGCCCGAGTTAAGTATTTAAATACACATTAAATGCTCAAAAAGAGTGCTCTCAAAGGTGCTAGGCATCTGCAACTCCATCTTCTGTCAACAGGAGGTTCAGATGCTTAAGTTTTTTCAAAAATCGAGCCTTTTCTTAAGCTAGGAAATATTGGTCGAGATTAGGTAGCCATCAGCAGGTGCTACCATTCAGGAGCTCTATTATTTTCCCAACTTCAGTTGCAGACAAATGAAGGGTGGAAGTCCACATGGCCGTGGATAATGTAGCTGTGAGGAGCTAACCGTTTTGCCTCTGAAACCAGAGCTGGTTTTGCACATGTTGAAGCTCAACAGACAGTAAGGCAGAGTTTGTGCTGAAGAGCATCGATTGCTAATTCTTTCACTGGCATGTTGAGATCACTTAAAAGGACGCTTGTTTTTTTGCTCGGTGCTTTAAGATGTCGTGTACTGCTAACTGTAAAAATATAGTTTGCTAGATGGCATCACCAGGACCCATGCCTTTGGTAACAAAAACCGAGGAGATGTACTATTACCGTACATATATATCCTGAATGACGGTCAGAGACAAATAATGTAAACCGCTTGGCCTATATGCTGGAATTCTCTAATGCATGTGTCAAATGGCTGATTTCTATTGCAAAACCCCAATCTTTGGTGGCTGCACTTGTCCCACCAGGGAGCCCGAGTGAGCTGGTGCAGCAACGACAGGGTAACAGGCTGCCTTCCAGGACGCGGGGGCAAGGAGCCTGCTGCTCTTGCTGTCTGCCGATGCCCGTAGGTGTCACCAGCACTTACTGGGAGGGGAGCCAGGAGATGAAAAACAAATCAAAGAAAATAATAAGAGAATAACTTTCCCCTAGCAATTAGCATACGAGATTTGCTTCTCAGTGTATTTTTTACCAACTGCCGTTTTAAAAAAAAAAAAAAAAAAAAAATAGGAGAAAGGGAACTACGTATTTTAAGAAGCAATTGTAGAGTGGTCATCGCAGAGTACAGTCCTGCCTTTCCCGTGCTCTGTGATGGGAGGATTCACGGCACAGCCTCTACCCCAACTTCTCTTCAAACACAGTCACACTCTTCACGGGATGTGGTTTTAAAAAGCAGCCTGTGACTTTTCAGGCAAAATTTCCAGCCCCAATTTTACAGGTGCTAATAAACACAGAAGAGCTTGGTACTACCAAGTTTTTTGATAAATGACCTGAAATAAAAACCTGGTTATTTGTCTAAGTGACAGTAAATGTAGTGATATATTTAAATTGAAGAAGCTATGCATTATTTTGAGACATCGGCAGAAAGCCGTACCTGTGAATCCCATTGAGGCACCTTCTCTTGACTGCCTGCAGAGCCCATCTTCATCTCGGAAATCGATGTAAACAAGGTCTATTGCTTGAAGGCCAAATGCCTTTGCTGTGACTATTATTTTTTGCCTGGCATATAGAATATCGTGAGTTTCTTTACTGCTTGTTGCACCTATGAAAACAATGAAAACAAAGAAAAGCTGACAAGAGTGTTTTAAACCTTTCTATTTTAAATATTTCCTATGTTAAAAAGAGGAAAGTTTGAGATTTCATTTAACCAATTTAGAAAAAAAAAAAGAGGGGTGCAAGGCTATATTGTCAAAATGATATTCTTCTGAGAAAGGAAAAAAGCTGCTTTAGCAAAAAAAAAAATCTCTCTTTAAACACAAGCTTATAAAAGTCAGATCTTGATTTAGTTCAAATCAGAATTTGTAAGCCTGAAGTCAGTGGAAGCTTTGGGTGGTAAGGACTGTTGACTTGTGACTAACATGAAGTAATGATTTGATTATATTTTTTACTGTACGTACAGTGAGAAGCACTACAGCAAAAGAAGCTTTACACAAATTTATATACTGGGTACGACTAAATGGTTAAAAATTCACACTGGGAACAGAATTGCACTTTTTTTGGTTCTGATTCTTGTTGCAACTGATGTCCTAAGCTGAATATTTAAGCTTTAGTATCTGGATGAAAAAATTATGGTAGGTGACTTGTGAGAAGCAGCAAAAGTATTCACAAGACTTCATGTGCTCACAGGGCACCAGCTAAGCAACGTGCTCACGTGAAGGCTGGTGTGAAGGAAAAAAAAAAAAATTGTTCCCTTTCCTTAGGGTCACTATTTAGACACAGATTTCCAGTTTGTAAGGAATATTTCAGTAAAGCAATGCTAATTTTTACATTAACATACTTATTTTTAATTTAAATGTTGATAGGTCTGCACTTTTACCTTTAAACTGAATCAGATTAAGAAGAAGCTAAGTGGCTTCTCATAAAAGAAATTGTGAAATACTTTTTATTTTTGAGGAAGTCTAACAGTGCTTTCACATGAATACGTGGCTGTATTGACATGGGACATATTTAAAGTAAATTTATGAAAGCAGGAGAGTATTTGTGCATGATGTCAAAAGCCTGACTGATAATTGTCTGTAAAATGGTGATGAAGTACACACCGGAATTTTATGACTTTAAATGTAGTTCTTAAAAGCATGTGCATGTTTCTTACAGATATCATATTTTAAAATAATTTCAGTGACTCAACAGGTTTTAAGGTTATTTTTTTTCATTAATTTTTGGTACTACACGGCAAGAAACACAAGAAAGTGTCAGTCCCCTGTAACACACAGGGACCACATTTTAATTTGCCAGTGATACATTCTGCATTGAAAAAGATTAAGGAGAAAAGTGAAAATGTGAAACGCAGAATCAAGTGTTGTCATGACTTTAATTATTGCTGTCGGAAAAGCAATGGCCATAAATCACATCAGGCTTCTCCAACGTAAATGCCATACATTAACATTTATAGTAAACACACAGGTAACAACCTATGCTGGCACGGAAATCCTCTCCTCCAAAGACGACCGCGTCCAAATGAAAGCCAGCCTGGGATCCTGTTCTCAGTGCTTCTTCACAGACAGCCTTCAAATGAGAACAGAGTATTAATTTCTACGGAAATGCAGGATGCAGAGGGACTACAAGGGGATATTACAGCAACTCGGTGTTACCAAAATCCTTCAGCTAAAATTGCTCCTACTAAGCAAAGCTGTCCTAGGTGCTCGACCATGCACAGTGCTTTAAAATGACTCAGCAAAAGAGAAAACATTCTCTTTCCCTAAGCACCTACATGCCTAGACTGTGTAAATACAGGACTTTGTAGCAAATTCCCTACCTTCTCGTTGACATAATGCCCTGGGTGTTACTGTGATCGGTACTTCAGATATTTATGTAACAATATGAAACAAAACATTTGTCAAATACTGCTGAAAAGCAAACTAAAAGTACGAAATTTGATTAGTTCAACATGTAATGTATCTGCATGAGAAACAGAAATAAAGATCAGAATCTCTTTTATTAAATAAATAACCTGAACAGTTTAAAACGGTTGTGGATTCGTTATAGGATATAAGCATTCCTTATAGGAATGCCAATTTAAAGTCTTCTGTTACCTCTAACTAAAAAGTAGCTAGGGAAGTTAAAAATACAACAAGTACTGCAGAAAAGTATTAAAATAAAAGCAAGAACAATTTTGCTGCTGTAGCTATTCTGTGAAGAAGTACATTTCCAAAATATTGCTATTTGATATCAATGTTTGGATAATATTAATGTTTTACAAGGCTAAGGTACGCGGAGAAAGACAGATGTAATTGCAAGCTCTACTAGTGGTGTTCTTCTATGGCAGCTTATTCTTAACCAGAGTGCTTTAAAAGGCAACTCGCCTGCCAACATCAGGAACTGCAATATTAAAAGTTCTGCTATAAAATACTGTATGTGAAGAAAAACCTCAGCCGGTTTAAAATATGATTTAATTCTGTGTGTGCACACCGGACAGGAGCGTGTCTATTTGGTTACTGCTTTATTACGTTCGCAGATATGTAAGCGTGTGTTGTAAGATAAATGGCTGTATCAAACGAGCAGGCTGCCTGTGAGGCCTGCCGGTACTTCTGGAGGTACTTCTGATGTGTGTGTCCTCAGCTGGTCCGAAACTTTTCCCTTAGAGCTTGGGAGGGAAATGCTGAATTCCTGGTGCAAGCACGAGATCTTCCATTTCCTTACCACGCTGCCTTGCCTTTCTGAAAAACCTGGACTTGATAGTAAAGGTTGGGGAGTAATTTATATTCAAATGCACTTTAAAAATAAGATTTGATCTAAAATTACCCTAAAAAAGGAGCATGTTCTTCAAATATTTGCTATTTTCAAAGTTATACTTCTAATGTTAGCATTAAACACCCTGTCATACACACAGAAAAACGATAACATGAAATTTAGTTGTGATGGTATCAGTAGAAACCATTATAAAGATGCCAGTTTAACAACAGTGAAATGATGATTGTTTTTTCTAATTAAATGTTATACAAATGTCGAGTTTGATCGCTACTACATAGCCAAGTGTATTGCAACACTGTAAGTATTTCAAATCTTTGGAGAAGCACATTTCCACTCCAAGTGTGTTAAAAATGATAACAGTAACGCAGAGAGGTTTTGTTATTTGGCATGGGCTATCTGGAACTGTTCTGTCACTGAAATATTTTGAATTTATGAAGGTCTTTATAATACAAACATGGGAGTTAAACACACAAATGTTTTGGGGGATTGAAAAATATGTTTAGTATTTTTTAACCTCTCTTCCTTGACAAAAGTAGGGGGAGACTGGGGAGTATTCTGCTCATCCTACTTTGCTGAGATGGCAAAATATGAACACATCAAGACCTGCTTACCTTAAAATTGAGCAAGCCCACTGCAGTTTCCACAAAAGGGATAAAATTCATTGGTTCTACAAGTGTTCGGCCTTTTAGGTGATGTAAGAATTTGTCTGAAAACTAAAACTAGATAGTATGAGCTATCAGAGAGAAAAAAAAAAAAAAGCAACAGTCTACATGTATATATAACACGTTAAATTTTCACCTGGCTGTAACAACACCCCTCCCCACCCCAAAAACTTATAATTAAAAAAATTAAACCAGCTTTTAACAAGGCCTGTGATTCGAAACTGCAGCATTCCCATACATTTCTAAGTTTGGAGGCTGGTTTGCAAAAAAAAAAAAAAAAAAAATCTAGGCTTAGCACCTCTCACCCTGGCTTAGTGAAATGCAAATCCGCGGGCCCTGGAAAACAATGAAGTGCTGCTGTACCTGAGGTCCGGTTTTGTTTCAGGTCCAGCACTGCCATCACTGGAAGTGCTCCCCAGCCTTCTAAGTGGCATCCGTATTATTCATTACGGCACCGTTACCCTTTTGTTCAATAGGCTTTTCTTCATAATTTTTTAGCTTACCTAGGAAGGCCTTAAAAAGGAAGTTTAATTCTTTGAAGACCAAAGCTTGCCAATTTTTTCCATGAGACCAGTTCACAGCTAGCTCTGAGCTGCCAGTGGGGTAGCCCAAATTCCAAAATCTATCATCTGGAAACATACAAAAGCTCTTGCACAGATTTTTCCCCTTTCAAAAGGGGGAAAAAAAAAAAAAAAAAAAAGAGGGGAAAAAACCCTCAGCCCTATATTGTAAATCTATTATGTCTGTCCAGATCGAGTAATTTCCGTGGAGATAAACATATCACAGGTACGGTGAAAATACATTAGTAAATAAAGACAAAAATAACATATGCATATATTTTAAATTTAAGGAATATTCGACTATTAATGGATATCAAAGGAAAGGGAATTTTAATCATCTCTCCATTCAGTCTCAGTTGGGTAAATCATATCTAAGAGATTTGCATAAATATAAACCATCAAAGACTTTTCATCTTCAAAGGGGGTTTCAAGACCCTATAAGCTTTGTACTGTAATCATCGCAGGTCACAACCCTGCAGGAATAAGGCTGCTATGGCAACATAAAAAACTAATGCTTAAGGCTTAGCATAATATTCTGACTAATAGAAAGGAAACTCATTTTAAAAGCTGGCAGCCTATTTACCAGAAGCTGGATTAGAGGTGTTATTTCCCCTTTTAGCTTCCCCCCACTGCCCCTCCCCAAAAGAAGGAAAATCTAATCACCCAGATCTTGGAAAAAAAGCTTTCCAGCAATTTGCAGTAACTTTACAATTAGGCCAAAATAAATCACAGCTTTCTTCGACGAAGAATTCTGCCCTTCCCACCCCTGCTTTGCATCATCACCGTGGCCCTCTTGGTAACTTTTCTTTGGAGAAGAGAATTCCACCCAAAAATGTGCAAGGAGACAAAAAAATAATAATCAATGCAATTCACACATATGAGTGTACAGTATGGCAGGTACTACAGTGACAGAAAACAGCAAATTTCACACAGGCAAATGCAGAAAATGAGGTAATATAATGGCATCAGCATATATTCTTAAGATTCCTATCTGATTTTTATTTTTTAAGTGAACAAAAAAGCAAAAAGCACTACTGTGTTTATTTTTTTAGGTGCAAATTAAAGCAGTAGAGCTTTTCTTTTATTTTAAAATATTTTAAAAGTCACCCTCCTGGGATTTTTGCTGTCTTTTGTTTTGAAGGTAAACAAGAAAAAAAGCATGTTTAATTAAATATTGTCTCTCTTCCTCTCCCTTTTAAAAAAATCTGCAATAAGCACCAATACAAAAGGTAACGAGTGGAGAAGTTTCAATTAATTTTTTTTTTTTTTTTTTTTTCAAAAGGAGACGATTAAATGTTTCCGGCCCGGTAAAGTGTTCATTTCAGGGAGAAAAGGGGGAAAAAAAAAAAAGAAGGCGGAGGGAAAAAAACCCCACAAAGCTTGGGGAGGGGATGAAGTAGCAAGGCCTCAGCAATTCTTTCAATTCCAGTGCACACCCAATAGTGTGTCGGGAAGAATGCACACTGGTCAGGATTTGTGGGAGAATTGTCCCGCCACAAAGGAGGGAGAGTTACGCTTGTTATAGTCCAATAAGCCATGCCAGTCAAACAAGTACCCACACTAGGGACAAAAGGAAAGCAAGAGATTCTCACACAAAAGAAAACAAGTAAGCCCATCTTTTAGTTGTGCATCAGCCTCCAGGTTTTCTGCTGCACATAAATAAAAATGAAGGGGGGGGGGGGCTATGCATGGGGGAAAATAAACAGCTTCTGGGAGGCTGAAAAATCATGCCGGAGTGAATTTTGGGAGGATTGGGAAAAGAAGGTAGCAGCGTTGAGTGGAGCGCGCTCTTTGTGTGCACAGGTTGGGCAAAGTGAGAGAGAAGCAAAAGGCGGACAATGAGGCAGAAGTTGTTGGGGCTGGCTTGTTTTCCATGATGGAAATCAAAGTTAGCGAGAGGGAAGGTGGAAGGGGATGAGGGGACAAAGAGCCCCCACATCCCACCTCCCTGCAAAACCTACTTGGGGGCAGCAAGGGCCCTGCCATTTTGGAAACATGAATATTCATTACTGACAAGTTACGTCTAACACTTACATGGCTGTAAACCCTGAGAGGTATACTCTGGTTAATTTAATTAAATGTTGGTGGAAGGGGACAGTGCACTTTCCATCATGAGCGGCGGCGGCCGAAGCGGCAGTGCCACGGAACGGATGGGGCCCGTCGTGTACCCAACGTATTTGCTCAGTTGTACGCTCACGCCTGATCTTAATGGTTTGATCAAGGCTAGATGCTGAGATTAAAACAGATCCTAATACGTCTGCCTGCCTTTCATCACAGCTTGCACGTGTGCTAGCTGCTCGGCTAGCGGTTCGCAAAAATATAGAAGTGAATAATTAAGCATTATTCCTTTACTGGCATGTTACAGAAATAATGGTATATCTAAACAAACGTCCCCCCTTTCTTGACAATTAAAACAATTATAGTGTAATTAGGCCTATTTCAAAGTTTTCTTAAGTAATTTGACATGCCAACCATTTACATTTCAGGTTTTTATTGGCTGAAAAGTCAGTCGTGAAACACAAACACACCTGTCAGCAATTAAAAAGGAAGAAATAGAGAACTGTTCAGGAAATAATATCTGTGCTAATTAAAAACACTAGTTAAAAGCTTCCTGTTTGTTTCTCCAGTTGCCCCAAGGACTGACCTTCCCCCCAACCCATTTTTTCATATGTCGCTGACATGGTTTCCCCATCTCCTGCTTACAATGCATGTAACTAAGGCACACAGATGTAGACAGTCATTTTGCATGTTAGGGTATTTAGAAAAGCGACAAGTATTTACGCCTCTGTTTTTGATAAGACACTCTGACATCAATACTGGTTCTTCGTTGACCGCAGGAGAAATAAATCTGGTTTTCTTTATAAATGCAAGGTGTTTCACGTATGCTTTTTGTATAGCACGTCCTACACACGTTTAAACAGATGCACTTCCCAATTACCTTAGCCAAGCAACGACATTACATGGTATTTGCAGCCTGCCTCATAACTCAGAGCCATTCATCTCTATGCCTGTGTGAACTTGGCCCAACAGCTTCAGGCAAAAGCTACCGTGCTGCTGGTAAACAGGTAGCTACTCACCCATCTTATTTCTTCAACATTTTCAACCTTTGGCAGCATCAGGCTTGAAGGAAGGGTCTTGGACTGCAAAAGCACCTCTAGATCTTCTTCTGCAAGACCACTGGACACGGAGTTTATCCTAACACACTTTTCAGCATGGCCAAAGTCAAACTCTTCAAGGGTTTTCACAACTGTCAGTCTTGCTTCTCTCTACAATATGTATGTATTTAAAGGCACAGGAAAAGAAAAAGAAAGCTTATTTTCTATTGACAGAAAAGTGCACTGAGCAGAAAACTTGTTGAAACAATGTGGGGAAAAAGCTAGACAGCCAGTATATTGGTGTCCCCAAAATGTCTGTCACTTCTGGACTTTTATTGAAGCAGTCATCACCAGCACCTCGCAATTTTACCTTCCTCATTTCGTTATAACTGGTAAATAAAATGCTTAGGTTTTTTTGTTTAAGTATTTCTACACCATCACTTGCAGAAAACATGACTTTTGTGTCCACTATTGCTGAACGTGTCTAACAAACAAATCTTTATACTAACCTCAATGTGTTGCACTAACTCTCTGCACTCACAAAACCAGCACGTTAATAAATTTGCATTTCATTTTTGTAATTAATCTCTATATTGCCTGTGCTAAAATAGCATGGATGTCAGAAAGCACTGATGTACATACACTTCTTTGGCTTTTGCTATATAAATATTCCTTTTCTCCATGTATCCAACGTGTATTAAAGCCCGTAGTAGAGTTCACAACTCGCATGTGAAAACACCACCAAAGTAACTTGTAGATTTTTCCTGAACCATGTAAAAAGCTATTCTCCTTCTGACACAAAATAAAATCGCCGAAGACACGCGCTTCCCGTGGCTGTTTGCTATTTGTTGTGAATGTACATTTACAAATCTGTTTAACATTTGATTTGCATGAAGAATACCTGAATGCTTTTCCGAAATGAAATGCGTTTCTTGGCCTGGAGAAAAAGAGGGGAGGGAGACAGAGGGTGCTGGGCTCCTTGCTTCCTGCCAACTGCAGTTTCAGCCCCAAATTCCTTCCAGTCACCAACAGCCCCTAACAAATTCGCATTGTCAAAATGCACACTTATCAAAAGTCATTTCATTTGTGAAGAGTTTTTATGGGGCTAATAAAACTTTAAAGCTCCGGACTCACAGAGGTTCAGGAACGACTTTAACAATACGCAGTCGCTGAATAGAGATGCTTTTCAAGAAAACAGGCAAACTCAAGGGGACAAAATAAAAAAAAAAAAATCATCAAAGTTAATATCCAGGCTAATACCAATCAGCAAGACAGCACATGACAGTAGATTTAAACCAGACGGATGCAAATCTCTGCCGGCGAGAGGGGCAGAGGTGGTTTCCCAATGTGGTCTGAGTTAAACAGTGTGAGGGAACAGTAGCTTACAGTTGTCAGGTCCGATCAGAACAGGGTCTCCCAGGCCAGTTTAAGACAGCTCTGCAGTGTACTGATTTACAGGGCTGGGACCCCCGATAATTAGGGTAAGTTTAGAGAAAAGCAAATGATGGCTCTAACTGGTTAAAAGGAAGGAATAATGAAGCAGAAAGGTAATGAAATCTGAAGCAAGCAGCCTTCAGCTTGGGGCTACTAGCCGTGCTCCTCCGAAGGTTGGGAGCATATGCCCGTTAATCGGACAGACGGGAACAAGGCGCACATGTACGCATCCCTGTGCTGCACTCAAGGGGCACGTTGAGAGGTAATCTCTGGAAAATACAATCCAAAACGTTCAAACTGCTGTGAATGGACTCTGACTGGGGCCATTAGGAAAGCCACACAAAGATGCATGCAGTTTACTACAACACGTCCAGCTGGAAGACAGCTCCGGCGCACAGCCGTCTGAAATGGTTCTTCCGAATTAGGTAAACCGAACCATATGATGCCATTACCGGGTAAGACAAATCCCCTACATTTTCCTTCTCTGACCAGGGGTAACAGGTTTCTAGGGCTGGACTGAAAGTTTTGGGATATGATGCAGAAGGGTAGCTTAAAAACATGCTCCAAAGCAATTTATGCTTTTAATTAAAGTCAGATTATCACTGTTTCAGCACACACTGATCCAATTTGTGGAAGAAAGATCTCCCCAAATTATCCACTAAGGCAGCATCCAATTCCAACTGAAAGCACATCTCTAGCAAACTTACAGTCTAATTCATTACGATTTTTTTCAGATTATAATAACAAGCAGTAGACTGTCTCATTAGCTATTTTCCTCCTCAGGCTGCAAACTCCCTTCCCAAAAAAGACAGATCGTGTCTTTCTAGGTATATTTCCATACAAAACACTTATTAACAGGCTGTTGCTGTTATCACTTTACATAAACTAAATGTGCAGCCCTCTGGTACGTATCCCAAAAATAACCAACAACTTCACTGAATTTATACCAACCAACAAACATGGGGAGGGGGTTGTTGTTTTTTCCCATATTTTAATAGAAAATATGTTGCTATGTTAGTTAACACACCCATGCCATCTGTTGGGTTGAGAATTGATGCATTTTCTTAGAACCACTACGTTTTAGATCTGTCTGCCTAGATACCCCAGGAATGGAAACGTTTCCCTTCCGTGATAAAACACTTCTAGTGACTATAGTTTCCACATCAGGATTTAATTTACATTTTTAATTGTGGGACAAACTGAGAGGACCTGGTTGCCAAAGTCAGAGCTTGGGAGGGGTTTGACTCAGTGTCTACCCTTCCTACAATGGAGAAAATCCCGCTGATGTTAGTGGGGTATATCAGGTCCCCAGCCAGGCTTCCAATAAAACATTTCATGGGTAAATAAAAAATGTACTAAACCCTCTGAATAAATGTACTAAAAACATGGAGCAAAGGGACAGCCCTTTCTGCCTTATTACGCAGTGAAATGTAGATGCTATTCTTATTCTAGGATCCATGCGAAAGCTAGAATTTTAAGCTAGGTGAACAACTTCAACATTTTAAAAGGAGAGAAAAAAGTAGTCCTTGATAGAATAAGGTCTTTACAGCAGTAGACACAAGAAGGAACACATTTTCCAAACTGTATATAAAATCCCTGCTAAGAATGGTCAAACTAGAATTTTTAAGGAAAGGTGAAAAGAATTATTTACTCTGTTCTTCACATGAGAACTACAACATTGGATAATACTCTGTCATGACTGAATAGCTGATAAAGAAATAAACTTGATTGTTAAGTAAACGATTCCATCCCCAGGTAGCTTGGGATGGTGGTATCCCCATTGGGTCCCACGAGGGTTGGGTTCTTTATCAAACTGAACAAGAGAGAAAGACAACAGAGAGCTTCCACAGTAAACAGTGACATTATCAAAATATGCTAAATTTGCAACTTGTGCTGGAAAAACCACTGGAAAAAAAAAAACAAACGTTGGTCAGGGTAGCTACTTTAGCATCCCTTCTGTTTGACTTGGAGGAGGACAGGGAAAATGTTCATTGCCACGCGCAGCTACGCCAACTGGAGAAGATAAAGGTTTCAGTGACGCAGCATCGCTGACAAATTCACCGCCACCCAGACACACAAGCACTGAAATTAAAGACGCGTGTTGCCGGCTCGATTGGCACCCATTAGACCTAATAACTAACCATCCTCACGAGTTCCTAGCTCTGAATTATCAAATCTGCAAAGAAAACAACATCCGTCCACTTTTACACTCCAGTGGAAGAGGTGGTCCCTCGCGGCGGGGCTGCGCAGTCTCGCCATCTGGAGAATAAATCGAGTGTGAAGTACAGTATAGTTTGGGACCAAGCTCCGTGGCGGCAGCCCAGCAGTTAGTTCATTAGTCCCAAACTTGCGGGGATTAGCGTGGTATGGGCTCTACTGTCGGATGGGATCAGGCAGGCAGAGCGCGAGACTTGGAGACAGGGGTGGCGGCGAAGAAGGAGCCCCTCGGGCTTGTTTATAAAGCTATGTAGTATAAGTGCACCTAAAGAGGTGCCTTTGGTAACAGTATTATCAGTCTTCTACCCGCTGAATCAGTACCTTTCCTTCTCCCGTCCCTCGGCCCACACCACCCACGACCCCCCCCCCCCCCCCCCCTTTTATTCTTTAAGTTATATGTCAAGACATAGAAATTTCTGCTTTGAAACAGAAGGAATGTCACAGAGCTGGAAGCTCAGCCACCCACTCACCCCGGACACAGTGGTAATACAGCAATAATGAAACCAAGACGGTCAGATTAACAGCCTTTTGGGGACTGCAACAGCAGACAGAAGTGACATTTTCCTCTTTCTTTTCCAACTGGTAACGATACCCCGCAAACCAGTTTTCCAGCACTGTGATTTCTAGACCTGCCTGATTTTGGGGACAAAATCTGTTTTGCTTTACCTTTCTTGCCTAGTCTTACTCCCTTTTTTTTTTCTCAAGACTTCAGGTCTTCATGTAAAGACAGTGGGTATACTTAAAGATATGTTTATGTGCAGATCTCATCCTGTTAACATCTTTTGGTAATACTTCTTCATATGGAAATGTAAATATATGATGCGCTAAAATGGCAGGCCAGAATCTATCATCCTCACTGCCATAATAAGTTTGCATGTTTCAAATGGCAGAGGAAAAATTAATTACTATAATCACAATTCAAGTTATTTTTTGTGACAGGTCTGACATTGTAAAAACATACAATTATGTGTTAATGTTACTTCCCTGGAGTGGTTTGTTTACAGGACTTGACATTGCTGAATCTTTTGTCACTTATACTAGTGCATACCCTACGAATGCGTCTCTCAAATAAGATTTTGCAGAAGCACACATATATTATACACCCACAGCATTTTTTGGGGGCAAAATTGAGTTTCTGCAGAGGGAAAGCCTGACATTTTTTAGATGCTTAGTTCTCTGTCAGTGAAGTGATGCCACACAGAATGATACTTCATTTAGTTTCAAATCCACAGATGAGATTGGCAAGAGAAAAGACAAATTACATTTGTTTTTAAGGAAACAAAGAGAACCGTAACCGCGGAGCAGAGTGTTTCTCAGAACAGGAGGCGCCTGGTTCACGAGACCTGCCTTCTACCTTACATGCATGAGGTACTTGTGAGAATAAATCTTTGAAATGGCAAATACTTATTTCTAGTTAGTCTTTTTAGACTGAAAAACTGCTGTAAAATATGCATACATCGCAAGGCCTTCAGGAAGCTCCTAGTAAATCATCTCTTTTAGTTACCTTTGAACAGATAATCAGTTGAGGAGTATTTAAAGACTTACAAAGTTTTAAAACACATTTTCTTTTGGTTCAACAGGGAACATGCCAATCCCACCATGTAATCCTAAAGGGAAGAAGGGGCAGGACTGGGGAGGAGGAGGGAGAATAAGGCTTCTGTCGTGTATGTCGGTGTTTCTCCTCTGCAGTTCAGGCAAACGGACATTTTAGAGCACTGCGAGATTCTG